CTGCACAGTGAACATTTTTCAACAAGCCTTGTGGATACCCTTTGTGCTCTTTGGGAATTCATATGGGCAGAAATAGCTGCAATATTCTTTTTGTAGAGCCATGGCTTTCTGCAGGGTGGCACAGTGGTTTGCATTGTTGCCTTGCAGTGCTGGGGCCCTTGGTCCAGTTCCGGAACCTGGGGAGCTATGTATATACCTGGGGTTTGTACAGTATGTTCTCCCCGTGTTTACATGAGTTTCCGCTGGGAGCTCTGGTTTCCTCCCACAGTCCAAAGGCATACTGGTACTGTAGGTTAATTGATTTTTGGGAAAATTGCTATTTTTAATTTTCTGTCTGACAGTTGATTGGTGGAACTGTCAAATCCTTCTTTCAAATCCTTATAAATGGTTTTATAACCCTTCCTAGATGGATGAACATCAATAATTTATTTTCGTAGGTCCTCCTAGATTTCCTTAAATCACTATATCATTTATATAATTAAAAAAAAACATAAGATACAAAATATAAACAACACCCATAGTAACACCTACTGTATACCAGTTGCCCTAACCTATCAGATATTATTGATATTCATGCTTTTTCTACTTACTGTACTTAAAGGTATGTTGAACAAAATACTGTATGTAATTTATTGTTTTTACATTTATTGTGTCAGTTATTGCACGTAAAATTCTCCTTTAGCTGAAAAGAATTCTGAAGTCTGTTAAACTGAGGGTTTATTGTATTTATCTTTGGGCTTCACAAACTCTGTCTCAGCAGAGTATGTACAAAAAAGCTGTTTAGTTATTATATATACTGTAGACTAAAACATGTTTTCTATACAAGCTTTAAATTAAATTAAACATTATGAAATAATTTAAATCTAATGATTTTTTTCCTTTTTCATTCTTTCATTTTGTACAGGTACATGACTTTTCAGTCTTTTTTGAAACTTTATTCTGGATAAAAAACACAATAAACCATAACATGTTCCATTAACATACATATGTACAGTATGGTACAATTACTATCATTTTACCATACTGTAAAATTATCTATACCCGTAAATTACTCTGTAATGTAAAAATCTAACAAAAGTTCTCAACATTTTTTACTTGTACTTTTTAAAGAGAACAGTGAAATGTTAATTCCCATAATACATAACAACTGAATGTCTTAAAACATCATAACCTTGAATGGTATTTTTTGTAACATTTATTTATACTCCATACATTTAGCATGTTTAGTATATTAGTTAGTATATGTTTAATATATTATGTATTGCACATAGAGAAAACCCTTCCATTACTAAATGCTGCATAATTTAATATAATGTTATATCATCATAATATTTTATTATGATATATAGTATACAGTATATATTACAGGTGGGTAGGTGCGTCAGCATGTATAGGCTGCAAAGGAACAAGTAAAGGTTTACTCTATGCTGAAAAAAAAAGAAAGAAAACGCAATGTTTCGGCTGTGGAGCTTCTTCACACCCGAGGAAGGCTCCATAGCCGAAACGTCGTGTTTCCTTTCTTCTCTTTTCAGCATGGAATGAACCTATTACTTGTTCCTATACCTATATTATAGTATATTTTAAATATATATTAAATACGAATACATACATATATATTTATTATATGTTTTAGTAATTTAATTTATGTACTGTACCCCTTTAATAAAACACTTAAATGTTCCCATTTTTGGTACTTCTATTTCTTTTATCCAGAAAAAATATTCTTCATGTCAAAATTTTAAAACGGAAAACAGAAAAAATCTGCAAGTGTATAGTAGTATGGGTTTCCACATGTTATTAACCAGCTGTTATCAAAAGTCAAATGCATGTTAAATATTTTTTTCAAAAGTCCAACACCACCTAATGTGTTTAACCTATTGATTTTTTGTTTTGTTTACTTATTAACAGGACTACGTTTTGAAACAAGTGGCCTCAGTGTATCATAGGCTTGGGTGGCCCATAAATTCTCCAAATGCCTCCATTGTTCCTGCCGCCTACCAGACTGAGTATTGTTCATTTTCCTTTATCTGCGTTCTTTCTTTATGCTTTTGTACAGTTGCTTTTAGTTACATAGCATAAAGCTCTTTTATTATAATTTTTATTATTATTATTATTATTTAAGAACAACAATAACCTCTCTCCTATTATTCTACCACAGGGAGTTACGGCGAGAAATTATTATGTTAGCCTGCAGCTTTGGTAACAAACATTGTCATCGGCAGGCTGCCACTCTCATTTCAGAATGGATATCAAGCAATAAAAACAGGTGAGAGGATCACATTGTGAGAAGATGCATAGTGCCAAAGTAAAACCACACATGCCAGCAGAAGTGCCTAACCCATGGGTATTCTTTATGTGAGGGAGCCAAAAGACATGTTTTGCATGAATATTTACTGTATTAGTTTTCAGTGGATAACCATATACCATACCGTCAGAGAGAACCTCTCATGTTTGTGATGTTTAGTCTTGGAAAACAGAAGCATTTAAGTTTTTTCTCATTAAAGAAACTTATCCATATTAGTTAAACACTGTGAATACAGTTCACACCAATTTCAACATTTGCAGTGATGGTGATGAATTCAAGATAAAACATGGTGGAAATCAATATTATTTTAGATTATTTTTAGATTGAATTTTTAATATTAAATATCATTATGGAAAATGTATTTATGATTCATTTATCACACAACCTATTATGTAGCTTATGTATTATGTAAAGAAAGGTACAGTAAATGCATTGTGTAATTTTCCTAAATCTTTCCCTGATTTTTACCAGAATTGGTTACAGTAATTGGGAATAACTCAATCGGTATATTGTATTTTAACATGCATATCAACATGTTTTACATAGATAATATGGCATTGTTTCTTGATAGAATGAGCTGGACTTGTTATGTGTGATTTCAGTAATCAGATGATAAAAGCATGATTTTTCAAGAGTCCCTGTTTCACTTATGGGCACAATTAAAGAATATAGAACTAGACTTCTAAGAATTTCCCTAGGAGACTTATCCTAGATCAAATGAGTGCATGCTTATATCAGGGGTTCACAGCCTTGTCCTGGGAACACACTCACCTGCTGGTGATCACTGCAAAAAAGCTCTAACCTTGATTGAATCTTTAACCGAACTAACAAATCTAGCCAAACTTTACACATTTTTTTGGACTTGAAAATTGGAGATTGTAAGTTACCTACAATATAAAACGTAAGGCAATCTCTGACATTTTAGGAACAGAAAACAAGTTCAGATTAATGTTACTGTAGTTAAACCAAGGATCCAATAATGAAACAGAAAGCACAGCTGGGACAAAGCGGGCATGTAGGTCCCACTGGCAAGATCTGGAACCCCTGATGTTGACTACATTTGGGGTGTCCACAGCTGCCGTTACCCTCTCTTAGTCACAGACTGTTGTTACCCAACTTACCAACTGGTTTGGAAATTTGACAACTAACAAATGAATCAACTGGATGTTCACTCTTGTAGGAGTCATCTTGCTCAACCAATGGAAGATTTTACTCAATTAGCTTTTTAATACTTTTACACAGCTTACGTCTTTTTATCTCATATAGCTTGTTTGATAACTTGACACCCAGATACAAAATTATCTATATTGAAAAATAGAACTTCATATATGTTCAAACCACAGGAGAGGGGAATTTTCATTTTGGAGAAAAACAGCAGATAGCTCCATCAGTCTGGCACTCTGATGAATTAGCTTCTATTGTAGAATCAGCTACAAACAGCTTACCCTGATCATATATCTTTGAATTGTAAACTACTGGATGACCGTAGGCAATGATGAGAGTAGAATATCTAATATGTTTCATGTAGGAAAAAAAACAAATCTGATTATTTTCAATACTATTTTTACCTTCTTCACATGGAACTTTCCAACATATATTTGAAATGCTAATTACATATTGCTCATTAATATTGACATCCATTTCTCATTGGTGTGATTTTATGTTGTTGCCTTGGATACAAAGTCTCTTGCCGTTTTTGCATTAAGCCTCTTGGAGAGAAGGTCCACTATTTGGATTATCACACATATGAGCTCCTGCTTATTCCATTTTTGCATTCTTCCCTTAATCTAGACAACATGGTGAAGTAATGTAGGAGGCAAAATAAGTTTATTTGTGCTGAATCTCACTCTGTGTTTCCCATGTCAAAGTGTCTGTGACACTTTCTGCAAAACAGAAATGAATTTCTTAAATTCATAGTTTGTATCTCACTGAAAAGGTTGAAAAGGATGTCTTGATATGCCTAGTGTAATGGCATATCAATATGAAATATTGCAATATGAAATGCAGGTACTGTAAAACAGCACAACAGATTAACTTGTACATCAAAAAGAATTCCTAAAGTCTCTATAGATTTTTGATATTGTTGCGATATAATGTGTAAAGACCTGCTCTTTCAAAGGTATTAAGCCAAGTTCAGTTTGAGCAGATTGCAATTTTATTTTAATTCCCTCATACACATAGTGTCAATTAGTATCAGATGAAGGGGAAGTTAAATTAGGTAGGACTGGCAGTCCTTTATTTATTCTTTATTGCCTCAGATCTTATTTTTTCTCTTTTCATGTCCCGTTTGTTCATGAGCATTATTGCTATTGTACTAATGTTGCTAGGTCTGATTTCTCCTGTGGTCCACAGCAAAATGTCTCATCTTGAAGCTTCTTGGTAGAACTTCTAATCTGAAGTGGGGTGACACAGATTGGAAAATTGCAACCACATTTCAAAATATATCCACAGTATCTAATGTACAACCACATTTGAATCAGTTTTCCAATAAACAGTAAATACAAATGTGCTTCTTCTGATAAAAAGTATAGAAATTGATAGGATGCAGTCAGTCATGTGTATCTTGGTAGTAAGAAAACAGTACAGTAAAAAAAGAATTAGTCTTATTTGGATAAGACCAATGTTTAAGGTTTAGTATCTAACTTGCAGAGTTTTTAATCCCTAAGGCTACTCTCTGTGTTAATATTTAAGCATTATTTAAAACTTTATTAGAAATAATTTAAGTTGATAATATGAGACCAGACTTTTATAGACATTTACTGTATGTATTTCCACTTTAATATTTTATTAAGAGGAGGTATATTAAGAAATAACTTGTCATCAATGGCATAAGTTGATTATTTTACAAGTATTGACATTTGCAAGGAATAATATATTACTTACCATAGTAAAGTATACATTAACTATATTGCAGTGCAGAGCATTGTCTACACAGCTACAAACAAGCTGTAGAGTTTATTTGGACTATTCAGTAGCAATACATTTTGATCTGGGAATTTCTAACTGAAATCATGTAATTGCTTTTGAATAGAAACATATACTTTACATCATTTTCATCAAATGATTCAGTGACCACTTATGGACCCCTGTGGATGGGGGCATTGACATTCTGGAAAATTCCTCTCCCATCAGGCTTTGAATTTATTGGCATTTACCTCCGTCTCGCAATCCAACCATAGTTTCCCTCCATGAAGCTCTCAACAGACTTTACTTGATTAAAGTAAAACTTATATTGACATTTCTGATACAGAGTCGCTTGGCTGTCTTGATGTGCATCTTGAACCAGTGCAAGGACATCATGGTCGAGGAGAATGTGCTTCTGTCAGCAGTTGCCACTAGTTGATAATGTCTTTCCCTCAGAATTCATGCCAACATCACCTTAGTCACTGTTCCATGAGAAACAGCAGCAAGTTGAGCGGACTTCATCACTGAAGCTCCTGCCAAATGTGCCCCAAAGATCACCCCTTTTATTCCTCTCTCAAAAACTGTCATCTCTTCTTCTAGCCATGGAAGACAACATAATGGGCAAATGGCCTGCTCAGCATGATGGGATGTTAGTTGCTTCATTAACTGAAGAACCACACCTGTTTGAAAGCACCTGCTTTCAATATACTGTACTTTGTATCCTCCATGTACTCAAGTTTTTCCTTAAATTTGGTAGTTACCTGTAGATGTAAAATCTAATCTTTTTATTATGACAAAGAGTCAGTTTTGCCCTGTAAAACACTGTGTGTCTAGTTTTATTGTTTTTATTTTAACTATAAATCTTAAAAGCATTTTCTATTTTTACTTTAACATTAGGGTCATCTTTCTCAGCACTTTGAATGTGAGATTCTACCCTCACACTTTTAACATCCCTTCCCATCCTATTTGATCAGCTTGGATATGTTTTAATGACAAATCTAAGGATAACCAACCAATGAAAGCGTAATTGCCTTTTACTCTAGTTCCAAATTAAAGGCTCTGAAATGTGTCAGGTGGCCCATGGATTTAATGTGACTTGAGTTTCCACCAGGGAATAAGGTAATCAGCTGCATGTAAAATAAGACATGGTTATTTTAAAATAAGGATGGTTCTGACTAAAATATTACTACAAATTCAACATTAAATAGTTAAACAACAACTGAACCGAACTGCTTAGGGTCAAATTGATCTCTTTAACCTGGACACAGTCTGTAAAATATAATTCCTAATACATTTTATGTTTTTCTCAAGAATGGCAACAACATTTCAACATTTCCTTTAACATTCACATTCACATTTACATTCACACTGAAATACATTCACTCCTGTCTTCAATCTAATGTCATCATGATACATAATGAAAATAGGTGATACCCATATACAGTACATCCATGTGGTCACTTTATTGAATAATTTAAGAATTCAATTACCAATAATAACCCAATTTGTACATATGGAATACATAGAGCTAGAAGAAAAAAAAGCATGGATTTGATAAACCATTTTTATATAGAAGTGTTAGAAGAAAAAGTCCGCCAATCCCCCAGACTTTTAGTATTCTTTTTTATATTTTAGACCTAAAATGTTATTAAAGTTTCATGAAAGCCTTAATGTAATAGATTAATAATTTAAGATAATATAATTAAACATTCTACACAAAGACATAAGGTATATTTGGATTAATTAATTAACAAAATATCCACTGATATATTCACATTTGAATACGTTTGTGAGCCTTTAGATTCAGTAACTGGTGTCATCTCCTTGATCAGTAATGAGTTCAAAAAGATGTTTCCTGTAATTGTTTATCAGTATCTCATCATTACGACATAGTTTGTGGTCCATTCCAGACTTTGACTTGGACATTGCAAAATGCAACATTTCTTACTTGATTAATTTCAAAGGTCCTTTCTTGAATCTATGACAATCTACCCTTACGTTTATTTTTAAACTTATGTCTATTTGAAAGATCTGGAAAATATAGTTTCTATACCAAGACACTGTAAAACATTATATGTAAATGGAATTTAATGCAGTATAATTGTACTTTAAAAGTTAACTTTCAATGTGGAGCTTGGTCTTTTTTGTCTGACCTTAATTAGTTCTCTTCTGAGAGGGCAGACAACTTGTGGTGTAGTATTCTTATTTAGCTGACTAGAAAGAATGACATTAAATGACATCCTTGAGAAACTGGACATCAGAATTTACATTCTGTGTTAGTGTTTAAAATACCTTTATACTACGCCTGCCCTTTTCATTGTGTGTTAAAATATACTGTATGCAGTGCCCTTGTCCTAATGTGACATTTATCATAACAAAGAGGTTGTTTGGAATATGTGCTGTTCCTGCTTTACAAAATGTTTTCCAAAGTGCTTGAAAGTCGAGTTGGTGGAAAAACGCCGTTGTCTGTCTTTCCTCAGCTGTCCAGGGCTGTTCTGAATAAACTGTGCTGAATTACACTGTTACTTCTTGTATTCCAACTTCTGGAAACATTGCTGCCCATTACTTTTATTTGATCCATTGTACAGTTTACATCTACTGCACTTTTTGCTTACTGTTGATATTTTTACTTTTTCATATAAGATTTGGAATCTTATACAGTACATGAAAATTTTGGTACAAGAAAAACACTTTAGTCATAGTCCGTATAAAAATACTTTAGTATCATAGTCAGGCAAAAGTGAATCCTTATAATTCAATATTGTTAGCTTCACAGACCTTTCTCAGAGTTATACCCAGTCTATGCTATATTTTTACTGTGGTATTTACTCTTTGTGCAGTGATGCTGTCATTGAAACATTTTAATTTAGTTTGTAAAATTTCATCATGTAATTTTAGCTAAGAAATTGAGATACATTTGAGATACATTTTGGGTGAATGATGCCTGGGAAAAGACTTGCACAATGCAATTAAAATTCCTGCAGAAAATAACAGGAAGCCCAAGGCACAATTAGAAAACTTTGAAAAGCATTTTCACAAGTCAGACATTAAAAGGTAGTTGTACTGTATGCGTGATTGCTGAAGAGATTAATTTTACTTAAGACAGATAACATGTAATTACAATGGATAGCTCTTATATACAGTATCTGATATTTGGATAAAAACTGAAGTGACTGCTTCAAATAAAATGTGTGTTTATGCTAATCAGACTGCACCTTAGTCTATTAACCTTGACATTTGTGATCCTGTAGTTCTTCAGGGATTGCTGTGTGGTTTTTAGGACACCTGAGTCACTCTACTTGCTCCGTAAAATGTATAATTTTCCATAAAATACAAGACTTAAAAAGGTAATACCCCCATAATAAGGAAGCACACTACACCTCCTTAACATTCACTGTTCTTGAAAGTAAAACATTTAGCTTATTATTGAAATCAGTGGTACATTCTGTAGGTGTAATTGCTCTGTTAGCATTTAATAAAAGTCAGTTAAGTCCATGTTAAAATGTAAATTATTGTTATCTTTTGTAAGTATTTTTCTCAATTATTCTTGATGAAAAACTTCAAACACTTTTTACATCTTTTATAGTCTTTACAACAGAGCTAAATTTAATTACTTTACATGTACAGACTTGATATTTGGATTTGGAGATCACAGGAGAATCTCATACATAGTCCTGGGTAAATATTAACATTCCAGTAGAGCTTTATACTGTAAGTAATATTCCTAAAATGAATTAACTATCTTTCGACTTGATTATGTTTTACCCACCATGTTGTGAATATAAGGTACATGCACACTGCCTCTGCTATACAGTCCTGGATTTAAGCAAAGACCAGATCCATTAAAAATAGCTGCTAGACTATGAATCACTTTATGAATGATTTTGAGGCTGTATTTTGAATCATAATTCATACAGTAGTTAAAACACAGATGTCTGGTTTTTGGTAACATATGTACATACAATACAATAGATCTGGGGCAAAACTGTTAAACACACAATTGACTACATGGAATCTTGCAGTTATTACAATCAAAAACTGATTTGTACACTCTATATAAATTTAAGTAAATGTGTCCTAAGATTTATGGTCACTTGAAATCATTGAACACAAAGTATGTTTTTGTTCTTATATGGCCAAATTATGCATACAGTATGTACAATAATTAATACATACTCTGTAATACTGTATATATTAAATATATAATATATTATTTCTAATTAATATTAATCTCATGAACAGAAATGCAATTTTCTTGAATGTAAAGCAAAAATATGTTTTAGATTTTGCTATTACAATACTATTGGAAGCCACTGTATGTACCTTACATATGGTAGCTGCAGAGCATGTCTAACAAAACATTTTGAAATAAGAAAGTGTTGTTGTCATTTTTCATGGAAAATATATATTTTTTGGAATTTACAATTTCCTGCTGTGCTTCACTTCACTTCCTAACATCATTACCCACACATGTCATATATGGGCATTATCTTTCTAATTCACTTTGAGCTTCAGCTCAAGGTCTTTGCCAGGATAGATATCTTACATTAACTGTGTCAGAGTACCTGTAAGCTGACCTTTTCTAACATTGGTCTTGAGATGTGTTCAAAGTAAGTCATTGTTTAGACAGGTATTCATGATGATTAATATGCAAGTTATCACTATATATTAAGTAATTCTACCTCAGTATTATACTGTACTAATTTAAAATCATCAGTAAAATAAGTATGCAGTTTAAACAGTATTTGAAAATGTTTTTGAGCACACATTTGATCTTACAGATTCTCTTGCCGATTCTTTTGTGCTAGAAACAGAAAACCTGGCTTTGCGGGGGGTGAAACAGGACAAGACTGGAACATAACTGGCTTTATTGATGTGAATCCCAACTAGTCTATTTCATTTGACCATAATATATGATTATGGCTCAGTGGAGACCAGTTTTGCTTTAAGGGAGAATGAAATACATAAATTGAATGTTACTGGTGGATTCAACAGTGTAAAATCCTTTGGGTCCAAGCTTTACTTTATTATGTTTGTGATCTTAGATTATAGAGTGACTTTAGATGCACACTAAAACAAAGGTATTACCAATATATTACCGAGGATAGAGAAGAAATTACATATACATGTATCACTTATCCCTCATATTTTAAATGAAATAAGTTTATTATGCCATTTATAATTGTACGCTAACCTTGAGACTGAGTGAATCACTAGAGATTTTGAATAATGTTCAATGACTGGTGTTTTACCACACACGCGGTGGCAGATATGAAAATGTCATGCTACTATATTAAAGCATGTGTTTTTTGCTTTGGATTTTATTCTGTAGAATCCCACCTTAATACCAAGTGCTTTCACCGAAAGTCTATGCTGATCTTATAGCCTATATCTTTCTTTACAGTTAAGTTGGAGATTAAATCAAATACCAGGCATAGTGTACAGTACTCACCTATCTCAGTAAGAATGATCTTGATACAATCATCTTTAATGGAGCTGATACAATTATGGTTATTTGACACTGTCAGGATAATCATGTGTCTTTTAATGTCGATTTAAAATTAATTGTAATGCTCTTCAGAAGGTGTAAATTAAATATAATATTTTTTAAGAAAACATAAGTACTCCATTTTCATAAGGAACCATAGGCTTTTACTTAGATGAAATAACAACTTATCACTTGCTGTGAAACTTTTTTTTTAATTGCAAGGACAACATTAATCAAAAAAGGCATAAAATGTCATGAATTGGAATCAAGAAAAAATGATTGCTTATTCTATAAAAGGATACTGCTTAGTTTCTCTCAGGGAAAAAGAAGCTAGTTTCCAGGAATGTCCGATGTTTTATTAATGGTTTCTTTATTACTATTTTTCTTCTCTCAGTTGGATCAAATGCTGATTAAGAGCAAGTAACACAACACTTTCAAGATGTGACCCAGGTTTCAATTTTAAACCCTTTACTATTTCCCCTATGTTCATTGTCATGCATTGATCTTTAAAATATTAATGCTATTGATATCCTTACAGAATCCCACCAAATGTCAGAGACATTGTTTACTGCACTGGAGTGTCTCTAATGGATGAGGATGTCTGGGAGTTCATTTGGATGAAATTTCACTCCACAGCTGCCATCTCTGAAAAAAAGGTACTGCTAGAGGCCCTGACTTGCAGTGATAACACATTTTTGCTGAATAGGTAAGTAAACGAGCAGGTCAAATCTGTTTAGACTCTTTGAACTTAAAACCAATTGATTCAGATGTAGTACAATATTCAGACAGGAAATAGAACATAAAATCATTTTATGATTCCTGTTTGTAAGGATAGTTTTCACAATGGTGGCACATGCCAAAACCATTTTCACAACACAGTCCTGTATATTTCTATTTATCTTATTTCTTTTTAATTCACATGACTGCAGAGGGCAATTAATGTAATTTATACTAACAGTGATTGGTAGATAGTGAATATTAATGTTTTGATAATTACCTTTAAAGATAAGGTTGATTTTACACAGTTAATATCAATATACTACTCTATTAACTGTAGTCAGCTCATATTATTATACTGTAGAAAATGCAATGGAAACTGCATGACAAATAACCAGGTTTATTGAACACACTGTCAGAAACTAATTTATCTTGGATTTCCAACTGAATAACAAGGAAACTTATTAAATTATCAAATTTAATAACCACTAAGCAAAAAATAAAACTCAACATTGATTTAATCTTTGCTACAGAATTAATTCCCATTAGAATTTAACATACTGTGAATAAGCTTGTTAAAAATGTTTATTTCTGTGTTGGAAATGGCAATCTATTAAATTCTGAAAAGAAGAAAAGTTCCTTGGATAAATTCAATTTAAAACTTAACTCACCAGTAGGGGAAAGCTACTTTAATGAGGGACTGTTGGCTCTCACTTCTCTAATACGAATGCTTACTGCGTACTGCTATATCCCTGAACAGTCATTCCAGACTAAACCACATAGAAGCGCTCAAACATATTACTAGTGCTTTAATGTAGGAACAGTACTAGAACAGAACATCCTTGAAACTGAACGACTCTGTTGAGGCTGTGTACAATGAACACATCATGTGTCTTTGCTTTAATTTGCCCTTTATTTCCTTTTTGGGTTTCATATCATGATTCACTAGGGACGAGGGTATTAAACCTTGACTTTCTCTCTCTGATATACCTGGCAACTGCACATTTTTATAAAAAGCACATATCCCCATGGTAAAAACAGACCTCTTATTTGAGATGACATCCTTTTTATGTTATTTAATCAGTCACACCTTTTAGGCAGATGAGCAAGAAAGAGGATGAACCTTGAAGAAATCATCAGTTTCAAGTTAAATATTTGTGAAGAGCCTGCAGGCACGACCTTTTGGAGGTCATTACTCTGTGTGGTTTTTATAAACTAGCAGTATTCATATGCCATAGAGGGAATTTATTTATGAGCTACTCTTCTTTTCAGTCTACAAGGAATGTTTCTTCAGTATGTAACCGATGAGTTAGCTGTAAGTTACTCTCTTCCACACAACCTTTGATGATTTGTACCGACTTATTAAATGTTCCCACTTTTTCTCCTCACTCGGCAGTTGACAATTCCTTTTACTGCTCACCTAAAGCTCTAGTCTAGAACAATATCCCAAAAGAGCCGCAGACTCATAGGATGTTTTTAAACCCAACATGAATTATTCTTTCACAAGCTTATTTTTGTGATAGTTTCATCACCTGTTGGTGATGTATATTGGTTTTGGTTTCTTGGTTTTGTAAGTTTGATTTTCTGTAAATATGAAATGTGCCTCAGTGGTTATTTTCAAGACTTTTAAAGACTTCATACATTTCTAAGCACTTTTTTTGCAATCCAGATGTAATAATATTGCTCAAATTTAAGTATAGTCTAATACAGTGTTTTTCAACTTGTGGGCCTTGGCCCTCAAATGATTGTTGCAATCAGGGTTGGTGCTACGGGAGGTGCAATGGGTGCAACTGCACCCAAGCCCAGATCTAAGGGGGCCCGTTGCTAAAGTCCTTAAAATGACAGCTTTTTTTTTAAAAAAAGGACCATCCGTAAAAGAAATGAATGAGAGTTCGTAGTCTAGCATATTTTAAAATGAAACACAATGAGTAATTGGCTGCGTGAATGTTTTGCAATTGGTCATTGGCACGTTAATTCCAGAATATGTAGAACTGGATAACGCATCTTGTTCTTCTGCAAGACTGAGCAACAGACAAGCTTAGCTTATTGTTATTATTACATTTAGCTAAACTATGTTCGTTAGTGTGCAACATGAAAGCGATCCAGAAATGTAAGTCGGGTAGCGAGAAATGCAAAGAACAGAAAAGACAATTAGAAAAGTTTAAACTGAACTTTTTCAATTGCTTACTGTACACTGTTATCAGTGAGACAGAGGAACGTTTTTATTTCTTGAGCGAATTCAGATGTCTTTTTGGCATTTTGTTTGACATAAAAAATACCGGAGATAATTCAATTGAAGCCTGCAACGAACTTGGCTTGTTTTTAGTAGACATGGCGGAGATTTGGCAACTGAATTAAAGTTTTTGTCTCATCTGCTCTCCAATGAAGTTAACATTCCATCTGATGTACTGCAGTATTTGGTCAAAAAAGATGTGAAATTTGCGTTTCCAAACACAGTGATAGCATGTTAAGTGTTTTTAACAATTCCAGTTGCTGTCGCTGGTGCTGAATGCTGGTTGTAATTGTAAAAGAGTCATAAATATATAACATTATATGTAATAGAAATTAAATAATATAAACATTTCATATATACAGGTATTATGACTTAGCGTGCTGCGTGACCGATGTGACCATTTAGCACCATTGTATGTGATGTCACAAGAAAGCTAAATCAAAATGTAGTATAACTGCCTAATTAGTCTTCACATCAAAGATAAGTGGTCTGCGTTTGGTTCTCTTACGAGGAAAAACATAGAGGAAGGCCTATCTACAAGCAAAGAAACCGCTTCAGTGTCTTATAACAATAACCCAAAATCCAAACTAAAGAAGAGAAAATACATGTATAGCAGTGAGAACTTGACTCTGGGCTTTACATGCATGGGAACTGAGAATGTGTCACTGCCACTGTGTGTTGTGTGTCCTGAAGTGTAATCAAAGGAGGCTTTAAAGCCAAACAAAATGCATCTCTGAAGCCCAACATCCAGCATTTGGTATCTGTCAAACAGCACCAGTCCTTTCGCTAAGTGAGCCAGAAAGAAGATGTGCGTGTTTACTACCAGGCTAGTTGTAGGCTAATGAGTGACAGTGCATTCATGCGTCCATTGGAAAATCTATGTGTTGAAGATAATGTAATGGATGGGGAGTTAACATCTACGTCTGTTTTATTATTGTTCTGATAGTTATTGTGCATATTTTTTCATAAGTTCATTGGCACAGAAGGCTACCCCGACCCTCTGTAAAAAATTTCAGTTGGTTTTGATTCCACCCGTTCAGTTTTGTTTTTGACAAGGCTTGCGTTAAGTGCATGAGATATAATAAAAAAAGAGCATTTTTCTTATATTTATCTTAATTATTTATTTTTTTGTGAGGTGCTGACTGGACTCCTTCTGTAATCAATAAAAGGTCTTTGTAAAGCCATGTTTGTAGCTTGTATGTGCGTATTTTCTCTGATTACCGGTGTCGATTAGGCTACTTCTGAGGTATAGCGCTAGCTCATTTCAAATGGTGAGGATGGCCTGGCCCTTCTATGGGCCGTGGAGCACTCCTTTATATTTGGAATGACACCTTGAAAGCCAGGGTTTATTTTAATGTACACTTTTCTGTCTTTGCTGTTAAAGGCTACTGTTGTGTAAACTAAATAATATTCGCTACAACTATCATTTGACCTTGTGCTTGTCCAAGTACGTAATTGTAATTTTTCAGTGGCTGGCTTGTCTTCTGTTTTTTAAATTACAGCCTGCACCTTCTCCAGCAGCTGACCAACTTGAAAATTTGAAAGCATTCACCTGCATGATGCAAACTCAGTGATGTTAATGATGCATTTTCGTCATTGCTTCCTAGATTTGATACAACAAACTGGTGGTCTTATATATCTGATCCATATATAGGTGGATTCTGGCATTTATTGATTCATATTAGTAAAGTGGATTTCATACAGTATTTCTACATATAAACAAAAATTAACCCACACCTGATAAAATCAAACAATGTGAGAAACACTAACACACTCAACAGGTATATGTTGTAGAGCCATAAAATTAGAGATAGCAGAGACAAAATATCACAGCTGGTGTTAGTGGCTTGAAATATCTTCTTCTCTATTAAGTATTGATTGCTGTCTTCTCAGCATCCACCACTTTGTTATTATTCATGCAGACCACGTATAACACACAGAGGTTTAACATCTACTCGTAGCATGTGGGTCGTAGATAGTAATAGTGACATAATTGGCAGGAAAGCTTGGGAGTCTGGTTTCTTCTTCTGTGCCCTGAAGGGGTCATTTTCCTCTTTGCATGAATTTTTAAGGGATCTCTACCTCAATGTAGATGCATATGAAGAAAATGAGGAACATTGTTGTGGTCTGTGGTTACTTTTCTTATTGCTCTCATTTCTGTTGCATAATTTAAATTTGCTAACATTTTATTGTGGTTGGAAAACTTTGTTTCGATTCAACAAAACTGTAATTGTATGCCTTTACCTTCCCATTTGTTGTAAAGAAAGATCTGCAAGAATTCATGCAAGAAGGGGCACTTAACTAGATATACAATATACCAGGGGGCTACTAATAATTTCTGTGGGAATACACATAAACCAAAAAATGAGAAAAAAGAGTGAAGAAGTGCTGACATAGTAGTATTCTTAGAAAAAGTTTGAAACCCCAGATATAATTACATTTTTTTAAGAAAGTAATTTTACTCGTGGAGCACCAGATATTGAAACATAGAGTTAATATACTTATTCACACAAGAATACTGTATCTACCATTGGATCATTGGATCATTTTATTAATTCAGTAATCTAATATTTTGTCATTATGGAGACTTTCATGAAGATATTATTCCATTTTAGGTCTTAAATATATAAGAAAACAGTCCAACCTAGAAGGTTCACATAAATTAAACACACTCAACAAGTGCAGTACGTTATCTTTATACTATATCATTGTGTTGTAAAACAAGATTTTAGGTTTTATTGGTGCAGTGATCCATTCAGTCGGACTTTGGAAAATTATAAAAGGCTATTTAATGTTGGCAAAGAATAAAAATCTTCACATAGAAGACTGAGAATTATTATAGAAACCTCTACCTATGAGACCTCAACACCAGATTTCTTAATATTTGGTATCTTTGAAACATTATTGTAAAAAGCCACAGTAAGAGTACATTGGAATCATGGGGAAGCTTAGAAAGATATTAGAAACTACTATACAAATAAAAGGCAAGGAATAGCACAAAATACAAAAAAACTAAAGAAAGGTATAAAATATTATATACTGTAGTATTTCTGCAATTAACTTTCATTAGTGGATAGTAAATCACTCAAATAAGGACCAAAACTGAACTGTATAATTCTATATAGTGAACTGCTGTAATTCTAAGAGCTCACTCTAAGTTAGCCTGTTGTTTTAAAACTAGTGCTGGTACTAAACATATTCATGCACTGTTTTATTAATCATGTTTTATGACTGCAGATGATGTAATTATCTGTTATATTGCTTTCTTGTCTTTTTAAGGCTCCTGAATCTATCTTTGAGCTCTGATCTAGTTCCTGATCAGGATGTCATAGATGTCATTATACATGTAGGTCGAAATCCACATGGAAGGCATTTAGCCTGGAAGTTCTTCCGGGAAAAGTGGAACATTTTAAATTCCAGGTATGATTTTTATTTTTTCTTATATGTAAATGTATTTTATTATAGCTAATTTGGATGAATATATGTTTACAGCAAATAGCTCAATAGAGATACATTTAGGTATTAAACTGATTATAAAGATGAATTTTTATACAATAATCTGTATTAAACCAACTGTAGGTACAGTATAGGCAAAATAGCTATGGCTCTACTTCTTAACTAACCTAAATCATACATTTGATGCACAGCAACGGCCACAAAACAATAACTGTTTTTAGGTTCATCTGTCTTATATGTCGTTTACTGTTAAACTGTATTGTCTTCACAGATATGGTGAGGCCTTGTTTATGAACTCCAAATTAATCAATGGTGTGACTGAGTTTCTAAATACAGAGGCTGAACTTATTGAGGTAAGTTTATTTGGAGAGCTGGCATTTCTAGTCTTCAATTGTCAGTCCCATCTGTCTGAGACCTCAAGAAGAGTGTCATCCTGATGATACAGGAATATTTTTAGCTAAATGAAAAAATAACTTGGTGGTTGATGCAGGATTTTCCAAGTCCAGGTGTCTGTGGCTTTTTGCTTCAAGTGAACTGTTGATAACCTAGCTACCTTTTAAATTAAAATTAATATTCGCATAAGCAGACAGTTTCTACTATTTCTACATTCTTTAAAATTGAGATTTTAATTTAGATAAGGGCTGTCCCATCCTTGTTCTGGAGGTCAGTTATGTCAGGAAGTTTTGTAGGCCTCCTTAAAGCAACAGCCTCTGGAGAGCTAGGAGAAGTGGTTAAACTAGTTCAAGTAGGTACAGTAGCTATGGCAGCATGTGTATGCTACAAAGGAATAAGTAAAGGTTTATTCCACGCTGAAAAGAGAAGAAAAGAAACATTACATTTTGGCCTTGGAGCCTTCTCTGGGTGGTTAAACTGAAGTGATTAATTGGTTATTGTCCAATTCAGCCAATAACAAGTTGAAACTGTATGTTTGTCAAGAGTTGAGTTGAAAGGCAAGATCCAAGACCAGGACTGAACATGCCTGAAATAGATGCAAATCCTATAAAATAATTGTAAATTGTAAAAAATAAATTAAGTAAATACAGAATCATTCAATTTAAATTACTCATGATGGCTTTTACCACAAGAGAATAATGTTGGAAAAAAATATCTAATATTACATACAGTACTGTTTAATAATATTTAATACTTAGGTAGCTGTTCAGTTCAAAATTCGGATTATATTAACAGTAAATAATTAAGAACATTAAATAAATGATTTTATCTGTGACAGTTTATAAAACTATGATTTGGCATTAAAAAAAAAGCTGTTGATCAATCTAAGACCAAGATTTACTCAGGATGGCAATGGTGGCCCACATTGTATCTAAGATGTGTTAAAAATATAATATACTGTAAATACACATACTTCTCATACAAAAAAATACCAGGTACAGGTATTCTTACAACCATTTGTCAATTAGCCAGTGCCAGGGAGATACTGCTTTAATGATTATGCTATCAATGTAGAGCTATTGAACAATTAGTACAACGTGATGGCACATAAGATAGTGCTTAAATTGCAATTTAGAGCAAACAAATATAAAGAGCTAAAAGACTTGCTTTTGACCCAGTTTGTAATGCCTTACAGGCTCCAGAGGGTTACATGACCGTAACAGGCTCACACTGAATAATCCCTGTTACACTAGCTTGGAAAGATTGCTGGCAGTTAACTGCCAAATGTTAAATCACCCTTAGGTGCAATCAGGCTGATGTGTGTTTGTGGCTGGCCATCCTATTTCAACTGGACAATATACTGAAGTATTACAGTAATAGAAGCCATGACTTAAACAAAACATTAGATAGATAGGTTGTAAATGCTTTCTTACAAGAGTCTGAAAGACATTTGGTATGTATCAGCCAGTGCATTTAAATCAGGTAGTCCAACGTAAACTATTTACAGTTTGTGAATCATGTTATACAACAAATGATTGACATAATCAATCTCAATATTTATTTAGTTATTTATTTAGGTGGTGGTCACTGTAAACTGAAATGTCTGCTTGGCTTCTGCCAGAGGTTTGAGCTTGAATTAGTGTATACAAACATAGACTGACCTGTTGCTGTGTTCATGAGTTACACTTGCCCTTTGTGAATAGTATTGCAATATGTGGAAGCACAAATCTGAAATATACTCTGAAATAACATTGAGTATACTATCAATACCTTCAAGCTAATTTCTGAAGATAACATCTATAGGCTCTTGCTCCATTATCATACTGCTGCTTACATTATTGTAGGACACATTTATATCAGTGGTATCAGTGAGCCTTTTGTGGATTCTGCTACATATTCACATGTTATACCATCACTAAATCATATTCTGTATCATGATTTGTCAGAAATCATTAACCTTTGTCAATAGTGCATGCCAATCAGATTAATGTACAAATTGCAGGTATGAATCTCATTGATTCTGAGATATGACTTTTTAGGAGCACCATTTTAGGAGCACCTTAATGATTGTAATTAGAGTTACAGTATAGGTCTTTTTGCTGATTTAGTAGAGAGGACGTCATCTCTCAGATGGTTCCTCTCCATTATTGATTGTGTCACTAGGTGACTGTACAGTAAATGGTTAAAAATGTCTTGGTTGCTCACAAGTTTTTCCTGTCAGCTTATTGAACAGTTGGTGTAACATTTTGGACACTGGATGGCCCTTGAATGACCTAGCTGCTTCTTGTTGTCACGGTCCAGTCAGTTGTGCTCCCAAACTGCTTGGCCTCTCTCATTCACTGAGCAAAGGCATTGTTGCAGCATGACTACTACCCCACGTCCTTTTTATACCTACAAGATTGTACAAATTCGGAATAATTCCTAACATTTGCAAAGTGCATTTCACACATCTCATGATATGCTCAAACAACCTAAATGGCATTAGCATGACAGAATAATTATTTGGCTACAAAGTACATGCTCCATTTTTAAAATGTTGCTAATTTTTTTCTATAGCTGTAATTCTAAAAAGCACAGTAGTCCTGTTCAAGTTATAAGGGTAAATTATAATTTGCCATTTTATTCCTGTTTCTACACTCTTATCCCTCTTTCTTTAAATTATCCAAAGTTAATAGAAGTTATGTAGTGCCGCAAATGTATATCCTGAGGGGTACCAGTAAGTAAGAATGAGACATGACCACTTGTGCTGTAGGCACTCTGAGGCTGTTTTGGTGTACTATAAAAATGCCATGCCATGCCATCCCACTTATTTACAAATATACTGTTTAAAACGGCAAATAGTGATTTGAAAGGAAAATGTCTGAAATGAAAAGGCTATGAAGGCTATGAAGTTACTGCATATTCAATCAGAGCATGACCAAGGTATGAAAAGAGCTTCTTCTGGTTTTACTCCTTGATACAACAGCTTTTTATGTGAATGGTATTCCAAATGCCCAGTACTGTACACACATACACAATCACCAAAACCATGGCTAGAAAATGCATTTATTCCTTTAGCTCTAAATCTTTGTACACATAAAAGCTATGGCTCTGAAATGTTCAATACATGACTGAAATTGTAATTAATATTACACACTCAGTGTCGCAAAAACATATTTTCTTCCAAGGTTCAGATATGATTGATGCGGACAACAAAGGATGCTCTTGGTTAAAATCACTGTGAAATTTGTAACTCAGAAAATGCTTTTACAGTTGTCATAGAAAGGTCTACTTATATCATCTGAGAAACAGTGATTGCTGTGCATTATACAAATATTAAGTTGCTCATTAGCCTTTTTAAAGCCTTTAAGTTTATTTTTCTTGTGTATAAAATAACCATACTCTTGTCATATTATCTATGTTTCCAATATCACTTTTCCCTTAATAATGGCATATTTCATTTAATAACTTTCAATGAATACATTAAGGTGTACTTTAGTTTGGAAAGTACTTAGTTTACATTATCTGTATCATACAGATGTAAAATGATTTTCTAAATACAATCTATGCTGCAATAATAGAGAACATTTTAAAGATATCCTTTTGGAGAAATTCTGGCAAAAATTCAACTCTCTCAAGGAAAGGCTTGCTTTATCACATAAATAATGTAATTAAACCATCTAAATGAATTAAATTAAAAGTTAAAATGGTTCTCTTTTAACAGTATTCTAATTCCCACTTTTCTTTTATCTGATGAATTTCTGTATGGAAGTTTGTGTTTTAAAACCATGTCCTGCTGCTGCACAGGATAAATCTGTGGCAGTGCTGTCATTGATTATCCCAAAAAAGTATACAGTATATGAACCTTGGCAAGAAGATATAAGGAAATGTGCACACACCTTTATATTGCATCTACTACATGTAATTTATTTTGCTACATACAGTGCCTTGCGAAAGTATTCGGCCCCCTTGAACTTTTCAACCTTTTGCCACATTTCAGGCTTCAAACATAAAGATATAA